CTTATGGGAAAATTTGATTCGGTTCACGACCAATTCGGTTCGTGACCAGAGTTGCGGGACGAATTAAGTTCGTGAACCAAGGTACCACTGTATCGTGCTTACTCTGGGAAAAGCTGTCGACAGTGGCCAAATGATGTATGTTGCATAAAGCAAGATCAGCTTGATTGATAGAACAAACTTGTAATTTAAAAAAAGATGTTCATCATTAGTGTCTCTGTTCAAGAGTTGGCCTGTGCAAGCTGCATCTGTCTTCTCAGTGTACTTTTCTCTCTGCTGTGTTTCCTTTGAGCATGCCCACATGGTGTGCTTGTGCTTTATCAAACGGGAACATAGCATACAGAAGTGGGGGGCTCATAGATACTTTTTGTTGCAGAAGCTCCAGCAGTAGATGGTTAAGTAGAGAAAAACAGCCTCTGGCTTATTAGGTTGTCCTGTTAAGGAAAGGGAAGCCCATCATACCATTAGGCAAAATGAAGCACCAGCTTTGAATGCCAGGCCAAGCCAGGTAAGGAACTGGCGTTGTACTCTCACTCATTGCTCTCCAAATCTAGTGCTTTGTGGTGTCCAAAGGCAGCATATTGTTTGGGCAACTAGCACAGTTGCTTCAGGAGGCAATGTTCATTGGTGCTGCCCCAGGAAAGGTTATTCTTTAAATTGTAACATTGTGTGCATTTTCTCCTTCCTGTAGGCACTGTCTACTTTGGATTCCATCACACTCATGTATCCTTTCTTTTATCGACCCATGTTTGAAGTAACTGAAGATGGCTGGCACTCATTCTTGCCCGAGCGTGAATTTGAACTTCTCAATTCACTTGTAAGTTCCTGGTGGTTCTAGTGGTTCAACCATTTTCTACACAAAGGGAGAACTTGGTTCTTGGTTCTCTAAGGCCTGTCAGAAGGAAAGTCTTTTTTCTTTTTTCTAATATGCATAAACAACAATAAGCAACAATATAGTGAAGACCTTAATATTAAGTATTAACCTCAAGATAGATACCTTTATTATGTAACATAATTAAACATTTTTCAGTTATTATCAATGCTACACTCAGCTGTAGGTGTAAAATTTAAGCAACCTCATGCTTATCAACAATAACATTTTAGAAATTATAGTTAATATTGACATAACCCCTTTTTTAATCCTTAAAGGTTTAAGTTATCTAAATAATCAGAGTGTTAATAATCTTTAGTCAATACTGTATAAGTAGCACTGTACATAGATAATATAATGTACTACTTGTGTTTTATTATAATATAATAAAACAATAGTAATTTTGTCAGGTGGGGGGAGAAGGGGGGAGACTTCTACAGGAAGGCCAACTCGGTCACATCACTCAGGGACATATGGAATGGAGTGGGAATCTCTCTTCTCCAGACATTTTAAATGGCTGTAATAGCTTTATTACTGATAGTAGTTCTTGTCTCTAGGATTTCATTGCTGCTGTAGCATGTATCTCACACTGAATGTCCTGGGGATCACGCTATCAGGTTACCCCAAAATAAAATTAATGGGTTTGGGCAAAGTGCTTTATGTGAACATGGCAATTGAATTTTGTTACCCAGGTTTAGGGTACAGCATATTGTGAGAATGAAGCCATGGCTTGGGAAAAGGGGAGATGGTGGAAGTTTTGGATGGCCCACTTTAACCACAGTTCAAGTGCTGCATTGGTTGCCATTCAGCTTCTAGGTGCAGCTTAAGGTGCTGGATGTCTCCTATAAAGCCCCTCATGGATGGCATAGGGCCTGGTTATCTGAGAGATGGCCTCCCCTCAGTTTCTACCCTACTGGTACACTCAGGCAGAGTGGATACACTCCAGATCCTTCTATGAAATGCTGCCATCTTGTGGGGCCAAGGAAGTATGCCTTCTTTGTTGCAGCCCCTGCCCTCTGAAATGCATCCCCCCAGAGATACATATAACTCCCACTCTCCAAAAGTTCCAGAAGTCCCTTAAGTCCCTGGCTGTTCCCAGGTCTAGGGTTAAAATGCTTAACTACTGACTAGGTTGACTGGGGGATTCTGGGAATGAAGACAAGTTTGGGGGAAATTATTTTCAAATGTTGATGTAGCTAAAGGTTGGTTAGAGTTGGGCAGCATCAAAATCAAAGTAATAAATATTCTCAGCTTTCTGAATTTCTCATGTCATTCTTAACTCAAAGAATATGTTCATGATTTTGAGTAGGCTAAATTAAATATACAAAAATATAATTTTAGGCAATATGTGAATGGATGTTCATGTAAAGTTTTATTTTGTAAAATTGCAAAGTGATGCCAAAGCCAAATTAATTTATGATGAGAAAAAAGAGAAAATAGGTCAGATTGAGCTTGGTGGATTCTTACGAACATACCATTAGCATATTATTCTTTCCTAGACAAATGAATGGCGGTTGAGCTACATCAACAAAGATTTCTCAGTCTGCTCTTCTTACCCATCTGTTGTCACTGTCCCTAAATCAATTGATGATGAATCTCTACGGAAGGTTGCCACTTTTCGCCAAGGTGGACGCTTCCCAGTACTCAGCTATTATCACAAGAAAAATGGGATGGTGAGTTGGACACTTGGATTACAAGGCATGTGCTTTCTTTGTAATAACCTAAATATTTAAAAAAGTATGTATGTTGCAGTACTTAACTGGTATGATTGAGATTGTTCTTCTTGTACTGGAAGCTTGAGCATTTGGGGGTAGTAGTAAGAGAACCGGATTGCAAATTATCTGAATATGTTTATATATGATAAGGAAGGGACTTGAGGAATCAATTAGCAGCCTAAGAATTTAATGGTTATATTAACTAAATGCTCACAGTCATATAAACAATCCCTGAAGATGTGGAAATTATCTCTCCCTTTTACAACAGGCTGTAGCTGGCTCTTGTATTTTTCTTTTAAATGTCTCTGATTGTTTAATATTAATAGAAAGGGTGGCTACACATTCAATAGCTTTTTGGAAGCTGGGCAAGCATCATTCAATTTTCCTGTCATGACATAAATTCCAAAGGGACATGCCTTTTTGGGAGGGCATGTTAAGAATCTCCGAAGAGTTGTGTGGGTGAATTCTTATAGGACAGCATGAAGCTTGGCAAACTGGTGGTCTTTCATGAGACGCTTGACCTTCACAATCAGAACTCCCCTGTTGTGTGGTTCCTAGAGGTTGTCTATTAGTTATATTCAAACAAGAATTATTGTTGTAGCTAAACTTATGTGATGTATTTTGTGATACATTGTTCCTGAAGAAAGATCTGCTTTGGAAACGGGATGGAAATGATGTCACACTTAGACATAAAAGCTAGTTCTTATTCTGCTGTCTTCATCTTTACAGAAAATATTGTATTACTTTTTGTATTGCCATTTTTCTCTTACTCACCTCTTTGAAACAGGCATAAAATTATTCTCACTTGAAACACAGAATTATGTCATGGATATATATGCACCAGATTTCATTCCATTCTTATTAAGGGAAATGTGTTTTCACACTGATATTGAACATTTGGATTGGTAGGTGAAATGTAAGAGCTCTCTTTACTCTGTCAGTTACTCCAGGATAGTGAACACTTTTCCCCATGGAGATCACAGAAACCCTTTTATATTACAGAAGACTTATCTGGGATACATTCTTTTACTTGAGTTTGTTGGTCCTTCTAGGTGATAATGCGCAGTAGCCAACCACTCACAGGTACTAATGGGAGGCGTTGCAAAGAGGATGAGAAGCTGATCAATGCCACCCTGAGGGTGGGCAAGCGTGGATATATCATTGACACACGATCTCTGAATGTCGCTCAGCAAGCCCGGGCTAAAGGTGGAGGCTTTGAACAGGAAGTTCATTATCCTCAGTGGAGAAGGATTCACAAATCCATTGAGCGGTAAGTTTCTGTATGAGAAATACTTGTTTTCAAGAAACTTAATTTAGAAGTTGTTTTTAAAGTTTAGAACAAGGGAAGTAGGAGGTTTGAGACACACAGATGAACCAGTTGCCCATCAGAATAAACAATACCAGGTTAGGCTCCAGAGTTTAATACAAGAAAGCTTTGTATCTTCCTATACAGCAGGCAGGCAGGCAGGCAGGCAGGGAGGGCTGTATGCTCAGCACTGTCTATCCCTGCTAGACAACGTTACTTTTGAACTTTCCTGTTTCCAGGTTCTTGGACAGTCTTGTATATAATTTGCTGCTTTTTAACCAACTGTTTTTGCAGGAGATGCAAGGAAACCTTGAGCCTACAGAGTAGATACTCCTCAAATATTGGGTGGTACACCATAGGACAGCAACAGTTTTTGATTCTCAGCTGTTCAGGATTAGGGCAACAGAAAGGCTTCCACACCCTTAAAATTAGGACTTGGATCTGTAGCAGAGGTGTCTGCAGGGTGTGGTCCAAAAAGTCAAGATGACAGCCACGAAGGTGCAATAGAACCTTCATCTGTTTTTATGTGCATCATGACACATAAGAAACAGGCAGATTATTACAGTTGCCATCTTGACTTTTTTGATCACACCCTGCAGACACCTCTGATCTGTAGTGACTGTGATGCCAGCCTGTATTTGTCCAGTGTATTCTGATTGTCCTGGTGTACATCTTGGGGGACCAGTAAGTATTGATTTCAATTTCATAAACCACATTGAATTACTTCAATCTGTTTCTCCCAGCAAACCCACCCTGCTAGTGGGTTTGAGAGGTGGTGGGGAATTTCCACAAGCTCAAAAGCTCCCCCACTTTTTCAGATCAAAGGATTAATCAAATTAATTAATTTCTAGCAGCACAAGAAAGGGTGGGAATAGAGCAGAATAGACTTTTTTATAATGGGGATATAAGAAATTTGAAGATTCTTTAACTCATGATTTGATCCTGTTCTGTTAGTGCTTTATTTTGGTTCCAAATTAGTATGTATATTACCATAATTTTGGGAAGAAATATTGTATTTAAGGATCCCAGTGTGGTGTTGTATTATATTTCTAACATGTGGAATTTATTATTTTATGAAGAGCTTTGACTTCATCAAGCCTGGGGTACAGCAGAGGATAATTTTACATCACTGGAAAGGAAGTAATTCTTCCAATTTTAAGGAATGGATCCAAAATATCAGTGTATCTATTCTTTAAAATCTTTGTTCTCTAAAAATGAGAAGATAGCACATTATGTTGCTATGTGGTCCAGATTTAATTATAAACTTAACAATTGAATTCATACAGATGTTTATATCTATCACATGGATCTTTACTTTTTGTTCATTGGCTTTTTGTTATGTTTAGTTCATTTAACTATTATAATATACTTTACTTTCTCACTTTATTATATTCATTGTAGACTCCTTTTTCAATTTTTAACATTTAAAAAGGAAGAGAAAAAATGGTGCAAATAACCTTCTTTTCTTTTTAATTCCTTGTGCATAGCAATAAATAGGCAAATGACAAAATCCAGGCAGTGTAAAAATCAATGTATTTGGAAATGAATTGTTTTTTTCAGAAAAGTCCCAGTCTTTTTCTGTTCCATTTTATGTGAGTTCAAAATAATGAGGGTCCTGAATTTAATTCACTGTTATAATTAAAAGACTATCAGTAAGAGGTGTTCAAATTGCCATTTAAAAAGCCCAGTATCTCCTGCAACGTTCTCCTACTTTAGTTCTAAGTAGCTTTAATAGGGAGGAAAAGAAAAAAAAAGGTTTCCATTAAAATCCTGGATTTATAGCATTTGGAATCCTCTTGACTATCCTGCATATCTAAGGAGGAGGTTTGCGTCTCTGCTGTTCTGCTGCTGTATTTGTCCCTCTCTTCCTGCTGCCCTTTTGCAGTACTACAGTGCCTGTAGCTGCAATCAAGTTGCATTTTTCTGAATTTGGCATCCCTATTACGTATTGGTTCCTTGAAGGACAATCTGGGATCCATGGTGAGATTGCTGGGTCACAGTGTTTCAACTGTAATATAGCTTCTGTCTGTCCTGTTGAGAAGCAACATGCATTGTGCCTTCAAAATATTTTGAGCAACAGTGACGTTCAGAGCAACAGAATAATTTTGACATTTAGTGCAATGTACAGTGATAAAAAGTAACTGCATGCTGACACAAATGTAAAAAAATAAGACCAACAAAAATCAAACAAAAGTGCACAGGGGTTAATCTCAAAATGGAAAAATAGCCAGAGTGTGTTAATTCGCCACTATAATGGTAATAATATTGGAATCTCCCATATCTTTTGGTATGGAAAAGTTGTTCCATTGATGAACTGCCTGTTCTGCCCCCCAGAGAAGAATTTTGTATCAGCCAAGCTACATGTACAAAGAAAAAATGGGTACTTCAACTGCCACATCAACTTTTATTTGATTTTGTATTGTTCTCTCTGGTGTCCTTTAGCAGGATATGAGGCTTGGCTCATGGTTTGTGAAAGTTCTAATATTGGAATTGCATGGTACTTAGAGACCCACATCTATTCCTTAAAATTAAACACTGAATGTTTGAACTACAGAAGGTGTTCCCACTGTAATAATAAAACTGTCAGCGTGCATCATGGATGTAAGGTTGTTTTCATGTTTGTCCCACTTCCTTCCCAATGTGCTTATAGATACAATATTCTGCAAGAGAGTCTCATCAAACTTGTGGAGGCCTGTAATGACCAGTCTCATAATATGGATCGCTGGTTAAGTAAGTTAGAGGCTTCAAACTGGCTGACCCACATCAAGGAAATCCTAACCACAGCTTGCTTGGCTGCCCAGTGCATTGATAGGTAAATATTTGGGCATATGTTTCAGTTTATTTATTTATTTATTTAAAACATTTATATGTCTGTCTATCTTAAAACCAAATTCTGGGTGGCTCACAACCAAAGGATAAAACAATATCTACAAACAATAAGAACAGTAAACAATAAAATAAAAAACAGAAAAATCTGGCACCACAATCAAACTTCCCCAATGTGGCCCACAACACTCTCCTCCCACTCTGATTTCCCATCAGTTGGTCTGGAGTAGACTTTTTATCAAGTGCCCTTCAGGAAAAGATTGCAATACATAAGAACAGAAACTCTGCTGGATTAGATCAGGGTCCCCTCTAGTACTGGTAGCATTGGCTAACTAGTTGTCTCTGGGAAGTTCCCAGAAAAAACTCTATACCTTGTGATGGATGGATGGATGGATGGATGGATGGATGGATGGATGGATGGATGGATGGAAAGGAAGGAAGGAAGGAAGGAAGGAAGGAAGGAAGGAAGGAAGGAAGGAAGGAAGGAAGGAAGGAGAGAGAAAGAGGGAGTTTGAAGGTCTCAATCCTTGAGCTTTGAGGCAGAGTCATGAGCTGAGCCTGGTTCTCCCCTAGATAAGCTCTCTTTGCTGTATGGATGATACATGATAACCCCAGTAAGCTGTTCCTTTTCTTGAAACATATTTTCTCCCTTAGGGAAGGAGCATCTGTCTTGATTCATGGGACAGAAGGCACTGATTCAACACTACAGGTGACTTCTCTGGCTCAAATCATTCTGGATCCCAGATGCAGGACCATTCGTGGCTTTGAAGCTCTGATTGAGAGAGAGTGGCGTCAGGTATGAGCTGCTGTGTTTTCACCAGCAAAACTTTGTGCTGTGTCTTCATCTCTGAAATGCTGAACATCTTTCATCTGCTAATTTATTCAAAGAATAACATCTTACCAGGAATCACTCATGGGCAAACGATATAGATGGTTTTAGATAAATTCCAGTGCACAGATTTGTTATACTTGAAAAAATCTCCTCCCACTTTTACTTCTGGTGAAGTAGAGCCTATCAACTGGTTCTTGGGTGGAAAATATGATTCATGATTAATGTTCTTGTTTTTCAGTCAAGTATGTCTAATTCAGCTTGTGTTAGCCAATTATACCTGCAGTATATCAATAAATTGGATCAACCCAAGTATTTATAGCTTTAATTATGTTCCCTGCATTTAATGTTGTTTTCAACATTTTTCAAATTCATTTTATATAATTAGACCTAGTATTCTTTTCAACTTGCTCATGTAGTAAGCCAGAAGCTTCCATTAATCTTAAGTAATGGAATTCTTCTGGTGCCAATTGTTTTGTGGCATTTCCACTCATTAGCTGTAGTCCATCAACAACTTTGCCTCCTTTAATCACTGAAGTTGCATATTTGTGTTGACCAAATTGCATTCCTGTGTCCTCGCTGAATACATGAACAGCATTCAGTAGAAATTCAAGTTCTGCTTTTGATTTTACTAATAATTTTAGGTTTTAGGCCATCCATCTATAGCAAATAGGCTATTTTTGCACCTTGTTTTGGAGCAGGGGTGAAAAACCTAATCCTTAAAGTGCTTCACAAACCTATCACAAGTTTCTGAGTGGTCAACTGAATCTGCTGCTGGACTTGCCTTGTGCAGTCCATACCCCTAACCAGGAAAACTGTGCTGGGCCTTTACTGATGTTATAGTGATGGCAGAAAACAAAGTTCTGCCATCATTGCCATGTAGAGGGATTGTGCTCACTTGTATTTGCTGCTAGATTTAACCACCTGTGCTGCAGTTGTCTACTAGTTTGTATCATTGCCATAGACACCAGAGTAAACCAAGATGCTTCCGGTAAGCAGAGAGGACACTCAGGAGCAATCATGCAGTGGTCTTTCTCATCTTACCATTTCACAGGGCCTCAGAAGAATTGCTAACCATTGCGCCTTGAAAATTGTCCAAAGCATTTAAGAATCCCTCAAAGTCTCTGAGGGGGATCATTTTAACTGGAATATATAATAACATTTCTTTACAAGTCCATCTTTGCCTTTCCCCGATGGAGACAATTAGGTCTGTTTCTCATGCTTTACTGTGATGTCTGTTCTATCAAGGATAGCACCTTGACTTAATAACCCCTCTGTTAACTCATCATCTGGATAGGTCAGATGAGAAGGATGTAATATGAGGAGGAGCTCATATTTCATTCTTTAATTAACAGTTATCTGAAAGTTTCTGGCAAGCCAAACCAGAGCTTACTAAATCATATCCATAAGGAAATAGGAATAGTAGGAACTTGTGTCCGTGCATATTTGTAAGGTTACAGCTATCCCTCTCCCGCACGCTTGGAAGTTTTGCACAGACTGCCTCTCTGGTGCACTTACTCAGTATAGTATACTGTGAGGTCATACTTGGTATGAGTATACTGTGACTCAAGTATGAGTTCATGTGCTGGCTTCCTTTCAACATAACTGCCAATGTGTTACCATTGGCGTGAAGCCTCACTGCAGCTTGTAGAGAGACCCACGCAAGACACATTCAAATGTCTGTCCTATTTATATAATCTGTCAAATGTTACCAGGAAAAACAGGTGGACTATTAATTCACAAATATGCAAAGCACGCCACAAAAGTGGAAGAGGAAAAGTGACTTACAACTGTAAGCCGTGATAGCATAATAGGCAGGACTGACAACATAAGACTAAGAACAACTCTATTGGATCAGATCACTTCAGCATCTTATTTTCAAATGCTCTGATCCTCTGAAACTTATGCCTCTGAGAAACCCACAGAAGGGTGTAAAGGAAAAAAGGATCCTGCTTTGTTTGCCCAGAGCAATATGTATATGTTGATTTCATTTACTACTACATCCTGATAGCAGTGTCTTCCATGAATCTGTATACTGTATTTTCTAATCATCTGGTAATGAAGCTGATGTTAGTAATAAGGTACATCTTCAGTAGATGAACAACAATTTCACATCTGTGCTGTCCTCCTTTGAATTCTTGGCTAAAAGCCACGTGCAGCTGGTGACACATTCATTTTTTACATTAACAGCCTGCTCTGGGAGTTTGTCTCCTATTACTTCTGTTTGATTTAATGTTGCAGGAATCAATGGTGCAAAAAAGGGTAGAGTCTTCACTTGCTAGGCAGTGAAGGGAACCCTGGTGATCAACAAGTTGCCTCCATGTCTGCATAGTTACTTAGTTTTTCTGGGAGTGGAAGATTAGATTAAGTAGTACCTTAATCCAGCCTTCCTCAATCCGGTGCCTTCCAATTGCGTGTTGACTGAAGATGATGGAAGCTATGCTTCAATGTTACCTTGAGACCATTTGTTTGGAGAAGCCAGTCCTAATTTCTAATATGCTTAGTTGTTAATTTTACAGTGTAACTTTTCTGCCAATGTTAGATTTTTGTTTAAGACAATGTACTGTGTGCAGTTTAGGTCACTGCATCCCAAAATGTTTATTGTACAGCTGGAAAAGGTCATGAAAAATCCACTAAAGTAATCAGAAGGCTAGAAGAAGGCTTGTGAAAAGAAATGATGCATTTAGAGCATTGAAAGCTAATTTGTTTGTTAGTTTATGTCCTACCTTTCCTTGTAGGAGCTCATCAATATAAATAGCATTCCTGCCTCTATGGCTTTTTTTCCCGCAGTAATACTGTGGAAGTAGGATACTTGGAAATAGTGACTGGCTCCAAATCATCCCTTGAGTTTCTGTGATAGAAGCTGAACTTGAACATAGAGTTCTCCAATCCTAGTTCAGCTCCTTAATCATTACAGTATAATGGTAGAGCTTGATGCAGGGGAGAGTAAGAGAGGATATAATAGAGATATAGAAAGGCATGCATGAAACAGATTTTTTTCCCTCTCTTCATAATATTGGAATTCAGGGTCATATATTGAAACTAAATGGAGGAAAATTGATAAATTGATAAAAAGAAATCTTTCTTTAGATAACATAATGAAATTGTGGATTCCCTCTATCATTGGATTGATGATGGCCACCAGTTTAAACTTTAAAAGAAAACTAGACAAATGGAGCTATCAACAGCTACTAATTTTGAGTGTTACTTACCACATCCTAAATTTCAGACACTCTACCAAGTATTGGGAAGCAATAGTAGAACAGTGTTATATATAGCTTTCCTGTACCTGTTTGTGAGTTTCTTGGGGCCTTTATTCATTAATTCCCTAATTACTTTTCCTAAGTGTATCATTTATTACTTACTTAAACATTGTCTGATCAAGAGTTTGGGTTGCTGGAACTGGCTGATTCCAAAAATGCCTCTTAACATTTTGCAAAGATCTTTCTGCAATTATCTAAAGGTTCTTCTGGACTTGTAGCTACTGCTCAAAGAGCAGGTGTCAGCTGTGCCCAGCACGACCTTTGCACAGGTTCATCTTGTGCACCAGTTGCACCCTTTCCTCACCCAGAGGGCCCTTCAGACAGTTACTCATGCCCTGGTCACCTCACAATTGGATTATTGCAATATGCTGTACATGGGGCTGCCCTTGAAGACCACCCGGAAGCTACAGCTGGTTCAAAATGCAGCAGCACAAGCAGTAACAGGTGCCTCTTGCCCATGTATCACCACTGCTATGTGAACTGTATTTGCTGCCAGTCGGCTTCGGAGTGCAATTCAAGGTGCTGGTTATTGCCTATACTGTAAAGCCCTGTATGGCATAGGCCCTGGATATCTGAGAGGCCACTTGTCTCCAATCACTGCTGCCCGCCCAGTACATTCCAGCAGAGTGGGTGCACTCCAGGTCCCCTCCATTAAACATTGTCATCTTGTGGGACTTGAGGAAGCATGCCTTCTCTGTGGCAGCCCCCACCCTCTGGAACAGCATCCCCCCAGAGGTAAGGATGGCACCCTCTCTCCTAGATTTCTGGAAAGCTTTGAAAACCTGGCTTTGGCCTCAGGCCTGGGGTTGATGTATGTTGTCTAAGGCCTTTGTTTTGTTTTGTTGACTTTGTTGTTTATTAGATCATTTTAGTCTAGGCCAGTGTTTCTCAACCTTGGCCACTTTAAGATGTGTGGACTTTCTCACCCCCCCCATCCTTTCACCCCCCCCACCCCTCCGGGGAGTCTCGGGGGGGGGAGAGGAACCCCCCACAGAGGGGCACGGGGGGGGAACGCCACGGCCAGACAA